CCGAAATGCGGCGGACGTTTCGGGGGGGGGATTGGCAAGCCGTTCTGGGCCGGTTTTGTGAGGGGAGGGAGGGGGCAGGATAACGCCGAACTCTCGGGTTGCCCGTCTGTCCTCACCTGAGAGGGGGGGATGCCGCTGTGTTGCCGGCAACCGGATGCGGCGCTACTCCCTCTCTCCGTCTCCGTCACCAGGCGGCCGATTCAAGAAGGAGATCGTGGTGGACGGGCAGAGTTACCTTTTGCTGATTCGTGATGAAGGCGGACCCCCCGAGTTGCAAGTAAGCACCGCTCCGTCGTCGCCCCCCCCCCCCCCGCTGGCCCAAAGGGGCTAAGCCGCCAAGCGGAAGCTCTCGCCCGCGACGGAGCTTGCCGGACCAAGGCCTCTGCCTTCCCTCCGCTTGCCAGTTTGCCGCCTGGGTGGACGCGGTGGTCTTCGTCTTCAGCCTGGAGGACGAGATCAGCTTCCAGACGGTGTACAACTACTACCTGCGGCTCTGCAGTTACCGCAACACGATGGAGGTGCCCATGGTCCTCGTGGGCACCCAAGGTAAGGCCCATCCAACCCTAAACAACGACCGCCGTTCTGACCCCGGGGGGGCCGGAACGGGGGGCCCTTCAACCCGGGGGGGGGGTCCCCCCCCCCCCCCCCAAAAAAAAAAAATCCCAGCCACCGCTTTACGGCCCTGTGCCTGGGTGGGCGCCGCCAACCGGAACGTCGACGGCGGAGGCTTCGCTCGGGCTTCCGGGAGGGCGGTTCGTTTCCGGGACTTTCGGTTCGGCCCATTTTTTTTTTGGGCGGGCTCCGGCACTGACCTGCATCCGAAACGGGCGGCGGGAAGACTCCGGTGCAGGGGGAGGCGGTTTGGTTCAACTCCTGTTGTCGGCCGATGGTCAACGTAGCAAGCGGACGTCAAACGTAGCAACCGGGTCGTTCGAACCGGTGTGAACGGCTCCGCTCCGATGGCTTCCAAAGACGGCCGGTGGAGAGCAACCACCGTGGTTCTCCGCCCCCCCATCTGTCCTCCTCCTCTTCCTCCTCCTCCTCCTCCTCTCCAGACGCCATCAGCGCCACCAACCCCCGGGTGATCGACGACTCCCGGGCACGGAAGCTGTCCAACGACCTGAAGCGTTGTACCTACTACGAGACGTGCGCTACCTACGGGTTGAATGTGGAGCGCGTCTTCCAGGACGGTATGGCGGCGGAGGGGGGGGG